GAGAGAGAGAGAGAGTACCGTGAACCCTACCTGTCGAGGCCGAGAGAGAGTACCGAGAATGAGAGCCGAGAGAAAGAGTACCGATAATGAGAGATTCACCTGAAATTTGCCGAGAATGAGAGCCCTTTTTTCGCCGACGGGGGCCGAGAATGAGAGATTCGCCGTAAAATTCGCCGAGAATGAAAATTGAGGGCGGGATGAATAAATGGGGAAAAGAAGATGGTGAAAAAAAGGGGGAAAATGCTGAAAAAATGAAAATGGGAAAAAGTTGATAAAATGGTGTTTAAGGGCAATTATGTCTTCTCACATGCCTTAATGACTATATTTCATTTTTTTAAAAAATATGGCTAGATTTCATGTTTTGTTTTGTTTAAGTGCTATAAACCACCATTACCACAAAATGCTGATGTCAAATTAGTTGTATTCTGTGAATGTCAAATTCTGATGGCTTGAAATCTGTGGGACAAATATTGTTCATTCGATCCTTTAATTTCCTTTGCCATACGAATAATTGTATGCAATGTCATATTATATCCCCTAGTACTTTAATTACATGTGATGAAAGTTGCTCTTTTATCTCTAACAGAGTTAGATAAGCATTCGAGCAATATTTATTTTTTTATATGGGTGATAATATATATTTTTTTTGATAAAATTGTAGAATTTGACAATGACTGATATCACCAAAAGAGAATTTGCTGAGCTCGCCCTTAATGGGAGTAATTATTTGACTTGGGCCCTTGATGTTGAGATTCACCTGGCCTCATTTGACTTAAGTGTCATAATTGATTCTAAATCTTAGAGCACTCTCGGCCAGAAGGCGAAAGCATTGATTTTCATCCGTCACCATCTCAATAAAGATCTGAAAAATGAATACCTCACCGAAAAAGATCCTGCCAATCTTTGTAAATCCCTGAAGGATCGCTTTGACTAACAATTGACTATAATTCTCCCTCAAACTCAATATGACTGGCTTAATATTCGTTTTCAGGATTTTAAATCCGTCACTGAGTATAATTCAGCCCTACATCGTATTGTTTCACAGTTGAAACTCTGTAAGCAGAACATTACTGCGGCAGAGTTGCTTGAAAAAACTTTATCAACTTTTCATGCTAGTAACCTTGTACTCCAACAGCAGTATAGGGCTAAAACCTATGCAACTCACTCTGAGCTGATATTTGCCTTGCTTGTGGCCGAAAAACATAATCAATTATTGACGAAAAATCATAATGCTAGGCCGGTTGGAACTCAAGTTGTACCTGAAGCACATGCGACTACTCACGGGCATCATAATATGCGAGGGAGAGGTCGAGGGTATCATACCCAGCTGTTTGTCCCATTTTTGTTACATTTTTCGTTGTCTTTTTCCCGTTCTTTTTCCCCCGTATTGAGTCGTTTAGGTGGTTTTAGGATCTTTTTGTCATCTATTATGTGTTTTGCATTCATTTGAGTGTTGCGGTGTTTTCCGTTTGTTTTCCGGTCTTTTTCTGTTCTCTTTTCGTTTTTGGTGTGTAGTTTGGAGATCCTGAGAGAACAGGTTTTCAAG